AATAGAAATAAGTTAATCCTACTTCGGAATGTGTACATATTAAGTGTTTGTATAGATGTAATGTGTACTATTAAGAACTTATGTGGTGCTTAACACATTTAAACTACCCCTATATGTTTTATTTAAATCCCATAGCTATTCTTAGGGTTGATCTTATCATCATTTTGTAGCTGCCAGAAAAGAGAGAGATTAAATGTCCTCCAGGAGACCTTCCAGGTAGAAGAATTACAAGGCAGGATGAGCTTCATAACCTTGTTCCTCAGTGTCTGTTTTTCATGCAACCAATATCTAATGTGAGGTCAAGGTGGGATTTTTTATGCATCATACAAACATTCAAATTTGGAAACACCTGATATACAGAAGATATGCAACTTCTCTACCTGAACTTACTCACTGTACATGAAATCAGACCTAACATTTCTGCTTGTCTTTTTAATGAAGTTAGGAAATGATTTTCAATGATGCCTACTCAGGGCTGCTTACAGAGTCAGGGTGTGTCTTTCCTATCATGCTTTCTGCCCGTTTATTTAGGTTTTAAGTTGGTTGGTTTCTTCACTTCACTTCTCTGAACTCTAATAAAGGAGAAACAGCAGCATTTGCGGCTGCTTTGCCTGCTTCGCTCTGTGGGAAGGACCCGGCAGCACTTCTATCATGAGACAATTCTAAAGGTTTATAACTCAGCCATAAATACTTGTCACTGGCAGAAACTTAGCCTAGAGGGTCACAGGCTTGGAGTAAATTATTCATTTATAAATTTCATTCTCTTGCTTTAAATTATTTTCACTGTATTTATCTTTTGTAATGGGAGAAAAAATAATAACTCCATGGTTCAAGATTTTTCTGTCCTCCTATGAATCAACAAAGCATTGGAATATAAATTTTGTAAAAAGTCAGTAAAAAAGTGGTCACTGAAAAACACACAATAATTCTTCTTTCTATAAGAGAAGAGCTTGAGGGCTGGCATTATTCAATTGAAGATCTAATAGCAGAACTTAAGGAAAAAAAATGAATGTTATGAACTATTGATTAACTCTCCAAACTATCCATTCCTAGCTGCTCTTTATTTCTTTCATCCTACAGGGCCCAGGGAGCTGGCTTGTGGCACTGGGCCGGCGTTGATGCCACCGCTGCAGGCAGAGGGCAGGGCGGGGAGGCGGCGCTGCCTCAGGAGCACAGCTGCACGCCGCCGGGCTCTCCTCCGAGCTTTACACTTGTTTTCATGGAAACCTGCTGGCTTCATGCCTGTTCTTAAGTTGTGGAGGACTTTTCAAAATAATATAAATTCCACTAAATCAAGTCTCAAATTTGTTTTTACCCACCCTCTTATCTGCTGTACCAGCTATACAGTACAGTACACATTGAAATAGTGCACATTTTGATGCTGGATAGATGAATGGATCAGATTCCGAGAGATCTGATATACCTAGTAGAGGTTAAAAAATAGATTTCAAATTTAAACATTTAAAATTTGGACTTATGATTTACACTGTGACGCAAATAGTCATACTTTCAAGTGGGAGTTAATTCTAAATTCATATAATTTACAACCTGATAAAAACATCAATTTAATTCTTAGGGATTCTGAGTCTAATTCTAAAAAAGCAGTTTCCTGTATCCTGCTCCTTAGGTGTAAGCACTGAAATTTGGTAAAATAATCTGTTTTATATGTACAGATCTTTATAAAGTTGCACTATTTTCTTCCTGTTATACAAACAACATAGCATTTATTTTTATTTATTTATTTATTTATTAGAGAGAGAGAGAGAGAGAGAGAGAGAGAGAGAGAGAGAGAGGGGTGTGTGTGTGTGTGTGTGTGTGTGGCCAGCTCAGCCCACCAGGGGGCGCGGCTGGCTGGCATGTGGTGCTGGGGGATCGAACCGCGGTCCCTGATGCTTTGCTAAGCTTGTTCTAAGTAGGTGCTTTAGACCACTGAGCCATCTCTCCAGCCCCCAACATAGCATTTAGAAAAATTATTTATTTATTTTTATTTTTTGGTGGAACCAGAGATTGAACTTAGGCCCTTTGCTCTTTCCAGGCACGCACTTATTCTACTGAGCTATCTCCCTAGCCTAGCATTTAGAAAATTTAGAAAATACCAAGCCCTAAAGAAAACAATTGCTTTAAAACTTTAAAAAATACATATAAATGCATATAATTGTTAAAAATCAAACATATTCAAGGTACACAACATGATGGTTTGATTTCTGTAAACATTATGTAATAATTGGAGCAATTAAATTAATTAACACATCCTTCACTACCATGTTAACCATGCTATTGTTCATCCTCTAAATGGAAATTCAATATTTTAAACTTGGACCCCTCAATTCCTGGTAACTCTTGTTACATTTTCACTTCTAAGATTCCACCTTTTTTAGAATTTGCCTACCAGTGAATTCATTAAATGACTTTTTGTGTCTTGCTTGCTTCACTTAGAATGATGTCCTCTAGGGTTCATCTATGGTTTTGCATATCTTAGTATTTCATTGTAAAACCCTCAAGTAACCCCAGGGAAAAATGGTCAATAGATCAAAATAAACTTTTTTCATTTTTGTTTATTTATTTATTTTTTGTCAGAACTGGGATTGAACTCAGGACCTTGTGCTTGCCAAACAAGCACTTATTCTACTGAGCCCTCTCCCCGGCCCCAATAAACTTTTTTTAAAAGAACACATACAAATCTGGCTAACAGGAATATGAAAAGATAATCACCACCACTAGTTTTGAGGGCAGTGACAATCAGAGCCACAAAGAGATAATACTTCACAACTTTTAGGATAGCAATTAGCAAGGTGATAAAAAGCTGTAAATGCTGGCAATGATATAAGGGCACTGAAACCCAGGCACAATGTTGGTGAGGATGTAAGCAGATACAGGCATTATAAAAAACAGGTAGAGGTGTGTCAAAAGCTAAAACAAAGCTACTGTACAACCTATTGATACTTCTGCTAGGTAACTGTGTGTTGAAGAGATATCTACATCTATACAGAAAAATTCATGAGGGTCAGCATATAGAAACAACATAAGTGTCCACAATGTGATGACTTGATAGAGAACTATATATATATGTATATATGTATGTATATAAATATATATATATGTATATATATATGTAACTATTACTGATATGACTATCATTCCATTATATTAAATATATTATTCTATTATATATTATTCCTGTATTATGATATATAATGGCATAATCTAGATAAAAGTTAGGAAATTCTGTCATTTGAGAAAACTCAGATGAACCTGGAGACTGTTATGTCAATGAAATAAGCCAAGAACAAAAAGAAAACTACTGTATAAGTGTATCTGTAGAATATAGATTAAACGAAGATGAAAAGTCTGTTATTTGTCTTAGTTTTGCTTTGCAATAAAGCTTATGAATTAATGGTTCGAGACTTTGAGTTTTTACCACAAAAAGACTTTCAACCAAACAGTGGCTTAGGAAGGAAGAAACAAGCTGAGGAAAACGTGGGGAAAGACCAGTTGGCAAGCATGGCATTCAGATGGTCCTGGGGCCAAGGTACACACTTTAGAGGGTCCATTTCAGGAGTAAGAGGTCTTCTCACAACCCGTCCCCTTGTCCTGGGAGGAGGTGGTGAAATGCGCTCATTTCCTTCAGTGCCATTCCTGCAGGTAGCAGGTGCTGGCCTCACTGCTTCTCTGTGTGAGGTCCCTAGGATGTACCCTGAGGTGGGGGTGGGATGGTGCGTTGTGCGTGGAAAGACACAGCAGGAGGAAAAATGGTCTCTGGAAAGGAGCTCTAGAGGTGAACATCTTCTAGGAGTATGGGTTCATCTCTCTTCTCAACTCTGGCTCGTTAAATTCTTACCCCAGTTCTGTGGTACAGAGATTGCTGCTGTCATTGTCACTTGGCAGAGGAAAGAAACCCAGGCAGAAGATGTAAAGAACTCTGCTGGAAGTCATCAGCTCAATTGTAGAATATCTGGGGGGAGAACTTCATACTCATGAACCATTGTAAATTTCCAGATAACATTAAGCACCTGTCCCATGTTTTTTCTTTTTTTTAATCATTAAATTTACCAAATCTAGTAGAAAAAAATTTTTGAACAAAATTCTACTGATAAACATTAAAGTTAACTAGTGTTGTAGGTTTAGCGTGCTTTATATATCAGACACAAAATACAACATTTGCTAATATATTGCTTCAATAGTTTTTAAACAAAAGATTCTGTTCATTTGATGGGAGTTTATTAGAATAAAGGGATATTTGTACTGAATTCTTTGTTTTCTTCTTTGTAAAAAGGAAATTAAAAAAAGTAAAAAAAGGAACTGATGCAGAATTTCACTAAACAAAATAATAGGAATTCAACAATAGTTGTTATATTGCATAATGTCTTCAAATTAGTTGTTTAGATTACCAGAAATAAACATGCAAAATTGGGAAAAAAGTTATAACAAATTAAAAAAGAAAAGAAAAAAGTTAAG